ATTTTTGCTTATTTTATTGTAACTGTTTTTGGACAGTTTGGCTTCTGCAGCAATATCTTGAATTCTGTTCAGTCACATCAGTTAGGTGATCTAGTGTGAAGAATTAAAGAACACTTGGGACTTTGAAAACAACAATATGGCCATTTATTCTTGTATGTGTTTTAAAACAAAAACCAAAGGCTTTATTTACCCACTTGCTTACAATATGAACTATCTCTTTCCCACAGTGTTGTTCAGTCCAGAGCATCCATAGCGTTAAATCTGAGTTTGACACAAAATATGGGATATTTTCTCATGCCCTGCTTTTTTCTTCCTCTTGGCGCACTAACTAAACACCACAGTCTAGATTAACTGGATTATCTAGCTTTTAAACAGCACTATCTAATAGAACCACTTACTCTGATGCAAAGGTGTTTAAATAATTGTGTGCAATTAACCCTAATTAAAGCACAGCTAAACGTACACCACATAGATTTAAAATTACAAAGAATTGTTTCTTTTTTTTTTACTGTTTGGTGCAGTTTTTAGATTTCTAGTTAAGCCAATAAGCATACATAAAAAAAAGCTATTAAATTTTTCTTGGCAATCTCCTGCAGAGCATTCACAACTTTGAACAGACTTTGATCACTCTTACCCTGCCGATCTGTTTAGTACCGCTTCTATCAAAGATGATATGATAATAACAGAGTTTTATCTCCTCGTAATCTCTTTAAAAGATTTGAATGACATTGGGATGGTGTCACGGTGAGCAAAGGAGGCAGTTAATTCTTTAGAGATCAGCACATTAAAATATTAATAGGGGACTTCTGCAAGGAAAGGTCATCCCTGTGACTGTGGCTGAATAGTGAGAGGGTTAATAGCATGAACTTCAAGTAACGCCGGCTTGTATACAGCACAAATTCTTCTGTGCACTGATAGACCCCCGCTGCTGAATTCTACAAACAGATTAAGCACGTTTGTATGCACAACATGGTTGTAACTGTGGGTCAAAGTAAACTCAGCAGAAAATGCCAACAAAATGCAGACAGTCCAGATGGTAGTGAAATGCACGAGACAAAAAACGTGTTCGTGGCACAGGATCTGAGTCAAATATGCCATACAAACTGAGTTATTTTCTGTGAATCACTGGGCTGTAAGCCAGCATGGTCAGCAGTTACATTGGCTGCTGCAGAACCATGCACAGTGAAATGGAACAGGATATGAATGGAAAGTTGTACATTTCAGCAAGTATCAAGTCAAAATAATCCAGCTTGCTTGGTATCTTGGTAAAAAAACAAACAAAAAAACAAATACAAGACAGCTGTGAACTGGAAGCGAACCAGAATGTTTAAAGTTTTCCTTTGACTGACTGGCCTTTGAGGATTTGTAGATATGGCACAGTATTCGTGGAGTATCTTCAGGGACCTTTTAGATTATGCCTAATCACAAGAAAGACTAATGCCATAACACATCTGCACTCAACAGAACTGACCACTATGACAGTAATTAGGTATTTAACCAGATGCAAGCATAACCTGCTTCTGGGAAACCTCTTCCAAATGCACTTATCCCTACTGCTTCTGTAAGAACTGAAGAGGTAAGCAACTGCAGAAAATCAAATGCATCTAAATATCTGCAACTTATGAGCATTTTAATACAAATAAAAGTGTCAGCACATTCACTTATGTTTTATTACAATGCCAAAGGAGAGAGTCTAGCAAAGATCATAGAGAAGTAATTGTTTCTAGTTAACGGTCTGGGAAGAATTTTAAAATTATTTTCCAACAATCTAAAATTTAGGATTCTAAATTGAGAGATCATTTAAAAGTTCTAAACATACAGGACAGTTGCAAAATTTTATTTATTTTTTTTCAGCTGTCTAAGCATGTTCCCCCTGGGGTCAGACCATGCAATGCTCATGTTAAGTGTAAAAAACTAAAAGCTACTGTACATCTTAAACTCAACAGCCTTAATTAACAAGTTAAATGTTTAAGTTCATATTAGTTCTAGTAGATTAGTAGATTAGTGTGAACCCAGAATGGAGACTGACATGAGGATGTGAAATAAAACTGAAACAAATTTAACAAAAATATAAACACTGGTGTGGCAGTAGGGATAATCACAAGCAGCACAAGGAGACACGATGAGAACACGGGGAGGACAACCTGACATGGCATGTAAAATGTACGGGGGTCGAGATGGTGTAGAGGCAGGGCAGCCAACTCAGGATCCAATAGTCCCAGGTTCGATCCCCAGTCATTGCACATCTTGTGGATCTCTGAGCAGGACACCTTATCCCCTGGCACTTTCAATAGCTGCTCACTGCACCACCTGGTGGTGGATGGGTTAAATGCAGAGATCCAATTTTGCTATTGTATGGGAACATACAATGATGACAATACATAACACATTATTATTAAAATGCATGATAATCACTGACGTGTGAAGAAAAACCGATGGGCTAAATGGGCCACGGCTGATTAAAAGAGTGGCTGCAGCTGTGCTAAATGAAACAGGGTGCAGGTGTGGGTGGGCATGGCAGTACTGACTGAAGAAACAGGAATTAACTAAGGAGAGGTGGCTGATTCCACAAAGGAATACAAAAGCACTCATAAAGTGGAAAAAAAAGTCATAACTAAACACAAAAATCACAAAACATACCCAAAAGAACACCAAAGACTACCAACAAAAAATACAGATCCTGGCACGTCTGAATGAAACACAAGACATTTATGATGAAGTTCTTTAAAGTGAATAAACCTAAGCAGTCAGATTTGGCCATAATGCACAGTTGTTTTGTATCCGCTGGACATGAACCCCTTGCAGGCACCAAGTCAACCATGTAGTCCTCAAAAGTCAAATGTGACTCATCTGTCCAACAGCTAAAGCTCAGCTCAAAATTAAATCACACAACTAGACAATGACCCACAAAAATGTCAACTGATTAAAGACTAAGTCACTGCCAGTTCAAAGCCACACTTCAATGTCATTAAAATGCTAAAGTGGTATTTCTCGTTTTAAAAAAAAATGTAATTCTTGTATGTTTTTCATACACGGCTGCTGCTCTATGGCAAAACTGTAAATAACACAATGCAATATATATGTTATGCTATGTGTCTAGATTTTTTTTTTCTTTTGCAGATACATTAAGCTTCAGATATGAAAGAGATTTACATATTTTATCACATCGAAAGATGGATGGATGGATGGATGGATGGATGGATGGATGGATGGATGGATGGGTTGATGGGTGGATGGGTGGGTGGATGGATGGATGGATGGATGGATGGATGGATGGATGGATGGATGGATGGATGGATGGAGCTAC